GTCCGCCCGTTGTGGCAACATCTTCTCGCTCGGACAAGGGGAAGTCCTCACGAATGGATGAGTCGTTGGAGGCAAGCTTGGCTGAGGGCGCGCCATCTTCTACGATTATCGACGAGGTAGTTTTTCTTTTTGCTTCATTTCTATTTCCACCTTGTTCGTTGTAGTGAGGATTTTCAATACTGGCAGTCTTCTTTGCAGGACGCTGACAGGATTGTGCGTTCTATCCAAGACTTGTTTGCTTCCTGAGGGCAAATTCAGACGTTTCGCCCTGCTCCATCCGGTCGTCCTGCTACTTCTTCAGAGGAAGACTTGAAGTTCCTGAAGGAATTGATATTTGAGTACGTATCCTTCATGGATATGGATATTGGAAGGGCTAATGCTACCAGGCACAAAGATGAACTTGAGCACTTGAGTGCGAAGTTGGAGCAAGCATTGACGCTTCCGTCGCTCAATCTTTCTGCCGATTTTAAAGCGACGTTGAAGGTTATCCACTCCGAGGTCCTTTCTATGCTGGCCAAGAATACTGAACTAAAGGCCAAGCGTACTCAATATCTTCGAGCCGTAGCTGAGAAAGAGTCTTTGCGTATGAAGATTAACAAGGCTGAGGACGAGTTGAAAGAAATCTCCTCCGAAATCATGATTGAAGACTCTTTGATGGTTAACTTGGCTGCTCAGATGAGGGAACTTCAAGCTAGTTGGAGGTTGATGATGATGACGTTGCGGCTGAATTGAACATCACTTCCTCCCGGCAGAACGAGGATTGGGAAAAACTTAGGGAACGAATTCGTTCTTTATGGGGTAGACTGTAATTAAGACATACGATGTCTCTCTTCTTTTGTAATTCAATTTTTCCTTTTGTAACTTTGTTCATTATTAATGAACATTAATTTCTTGTGCATTTATTTGTTTATTTTTTAGTCATCAATTCTTTAAGCACTTAACTGCTTTGCACTAAGAATTTTGTCCATTCCCTCTTGATATTCCCACTACTGTTCCCAAAACTTAGGGCTATTTAATTCCGTTTATTAGACAGAAATGTGGCTATTCATATTCTGTCTCTTCATCTTCACCCCCCTATAAATGCTTCGCATTTTTCATCCTCTATCTTCATCTCTTCATTTTCTTCTTCGAAATCAATTTGCTGCCGTTCCTTGGCATTCTGACAATCAACCTGATTCAAAAATGGATTGTTTAGTCCGTCCACCTTATATTTACCTTGATGTCACCTTTGGTATGGGAGGTATAGGAAATATTTTCTGGCCAGCAGCGAAGTTCTTTTCTGCAAAATTCTTCCCATCGTCTCTTTATTCTTCACAAGGAGTCAATGATGGGAGGCAATTTTTGGGCTGCTTGTGGGCCACTTTGCTTGCTGAAAGTGCTTCTCAGCTTGCCTGCTGAGAGTGTTTCTCAGCCTCTTTGCTCGCCATTGCAGCAATGCATTTAGGAAGGTGGTGAGGCCAGTACACCCTCTCACTCGGTAATCCCACCATTGCAGCGATGCATTTAGGAAGGCAGTGGGGCCAGTACACCCTCTTACTCGTCAATCCCACCATTGCAGCGATACATTTAGGAAGGCCGTGTGAAGCTTACTCAGCGATTAACCGGGAGATCATCTTACTTTAGTTGTATTTTGTAGCACGTCCATTATTTGTATCTTTTGTATTCTTGTAATGAACGTTTAATAATAAAGAACTTTATTCAAACGTATTTCGCTCTGTCTTTATTATCTTTTGATGGTCCAGAATGTTTGGTTATGTTTTTATCTGTTCACATTCCCATAAAGAAGGAACATATTTTTTCAAATATTTGCCGTTAATGAATCTTACGTGCTTGGTGCCGTCTAGATCTTCCAAGTGGTACGCTCCATTAGGCAACACACTGTTTATTTTGTATGGTCCTTCCCAATTGGGCGACCACTTCCCGTACTTTGGATCCTTGGTATCCAAAGGGAGAATCGTCTTCCAAACTAGTTCATTCAGGCTGAACGACTTGGCTATGACTTTTTTGTTATAAAATTTAGCCATTCTTTGCTTTTGAATTTGCAACCTATCTAAGACGTCCAACTTCAATTCGTCTAAACTCAATAAATTTTGAACTAGTGATTCGGTATACTCGTCATCATTCAACTTATGTTGTAAGCACACTCGAATCGATTGCACGTTGATTTCCATAGGCAAAACAGCCTCCTGACCATAAATAAGTTGAAAAGGAGTAACTTTGGTACTTGACCGAGGTGATGTTCTATAAGCTCATAAGGCCTTGTTCAAACATTCGTGCCAATTTCTGGCGTTTTCATCTATCATCTTTTTGATGATATTTTTTAGAATCTTATTAGAAGATTCCGCTTGTCCGTTGGATTGAGAGTAGTACGGTGTGGAGTTTACTAATTTAATCCCAAACTCGCTCAAAAATTTGTTCACTTGATCCCCATTCAAAGATGTTCCGTGATCTACCATTAAAGTTTGTGGAATTCCAAACCTATAAATAATGTGATCACGAATGAACTCTATAACATTCTTCTGGGTGATCTCTTTCAAAGGTACCGCCTCTACCCATTTGGTGAAATAGTCGGTTGCAACTATAACAAAAGTATGTTGTTTGGACGATGGAGGGTAGATCTTCCCTATCAGATCTATCGCCCAACCTTTAAACGGCCAAGGTTTAATAATAGGTGTCATCTCTCGTGCTGGCGCCCTTTGTATTGGACCATGGTTTTGGCATGCTAAACAACTTTTTGCATACTGAACGCATAATTCTCCCATCTTTGGCCAAAAATATTCACTCCTAATAATTAACCATCTCATCCTTTGGCCAGTTTGATGAGCTCCATATATCCCTTCGTGCACTTCAGCCATGATCGTCTTGGCTTCTTGCAAACTTACACACTTTAGTAATACACCATCAGAGTGTTTCTTAAACAACTCTTCATCTATTAGTGTGTAATTCAGCAAACATAGCTTCGTTTTCCTACTAATCCCTCCATTAGGTTCTTTAAGGAACCTTTTAATCTCTATTCTCCAATTCACTGCATCTCCATCTTGTATACAGTGAAATTCAATTTTTCTCGCCCTTCTTTGAATCACGGGCAATATGATTCCATATTCACAAGTAGACTTCCAATTCAAAACCTTTGAGTACCCTGATGCCATTTGGGCTAACTCATTTGCCATGTCGTTATATATCCTATTAACGCATTGGAGTTCTACTTGATCAAATTCTTCTAGTAATTTTTGGGCGATCTCGTGCTGACTTATAATGGAATCACTTTGGCATTTAAAATCACCGATCAATTGATGGATCACCAATTGAGAATCGCCCCTAACGATCACATTTCTTATTCCCATATCTACCATTAGTTCTAGGCCTACAATTAAAGCCTCATATTCGACCTGATTGTTGGTGCACATTCTGTCTAAGGTGAATGCAAACTTGTAGCAAATCCCTAAAGGATTAATCAATGCTACCCCTACTCCTACACCTTTAGAGGTTTTTGACCCATCGAAATACAAATTCGAACGAATTGATTTCTAATTCGATTTCTTCAGGCATGTTAAGGCATGGATGATCGGCTAGAAAGTTAGCCAAAGCCTGATTTTTTACTGCCTTTTGAGGTATATATTGTATTTCGAACTCTGATAAAGCTTGTGTCCAAAGGCCTACCGTTTGGTGTAAAATAGGGCGCGAGAACATATATTTGACTAAATTTACTTTAGAAATTAAATAAACGGTTACGGGCCGTAAATAAGCCCTTAATTTTGTACATGTGAAATACAGTGCTAGACACAATTTTTCAACAGCAGGGTAATTACATTCACATTTCGTTAACCGTCTACTTAAGTAATAAATTGCCCTTTCTTCACCAAATTGGTATTCCTGTGTAACCATTCCAGCTATAGATTCTTTTTCAGCCGATACATACACTTTCATTGGCCGTCCCTGGATTGGTGACACCAACACTGGTGGACTTGATAGATATGTCTTTAGGCTTTCAAAAGCCTTTTGATATTCTTCTTTTCAGACGAATTCGTCCTGATTTTTCAGCTTTAATAGCGGCGAAAAGACTTTAGTTCGCCCTGCACAGTTAGAAATAAAGCGTCTTAAAAAATTTAGTTGGTCTAGAAACCTTTGCAACTCCTTTTTATTACTAGGTGGTTTGGCTTCTAAGATGGCCTTCGCTTTATTTTTGTCAAGTTCAATCCCTCTCTTGTGTACTAA